ACGACGGTGACGTACAACGTACGACGAACGACGTCGACGTACGACGTACGACGTACGACGCACGAGGTACGACGACGACGACGACGACGTACTGCGTACGACGTACGACGACGACGACGTACGTCGTACGACGGCGACGACGACGACCACTTACGACGACGACGACGACGACGACGTACGACTTCGACGACGGCGACGACGATGACGACGACGACGACGACGACAACGACAACGTGCGACGTACGACGTACGACGTACGACGTACGACGACGACGACGACGTACAACGTACGACGTACGACGACGACGACGTACGTCGTACGTCGCTCGACGACGACGACGACGTCGACGACAACGACGACGACGACGACGACGTACGACGTACGACGACGACGACGCACGACACACGACAACGACATACGACGACGTCGTACTACGTATGACGACGACGACGAAGACGACGACGACGTACGACGACGTACGACGACGACGACGACGACGACGACAACGGCGTACGACGAACGACGTACGACTACGACGACGACATGCGACGTACGACGTACGACGACGACGACGACGACGACGACGACGACGTACGACCACGACGACGACGACGACTACGACGACGACGTACGACCTACGACGTACGACGACGACTTCGACGACGACGACGACGTCGACGACGACAACGACGACGACGATGACGACGACGACGACGTACGACGTACGACGTACGACGACTTCGACGACGACGACGACGATAACGACGATGACAACGACGACGTACGACGTACGACGTACGACGTACGACGACAACGTCGACGACGACGACGACGACGACGACGACGACGTACGACGACGTACGACGACGATGACGACGACGTACGACGTACGACGTACGACGTATAACGACGGTGTCGTACAACGTACGACGAACGACGACGACGACGACGACGCCGACGACGACGTACGACTACGACGTACGACGTACGACGACGACGTCGACGACGACGACGTACGACGTACGACGACGACGACGACGACGTACGACGTACGACGTACGACGACGACGTACGACGTACGACGGCGACGTGGACGACGACGACGACGTACGACGTACGACGACGACGTCGACGACGATGACGACGACGACGAACGACGACGACTTCGACGACGACGACGGCTTCGACGACGACGACGACGACGACGACTTCGACGACGACGACGACGTCGACGACGACGACGACGACGACGACGTACGACGTACGACGTACGGAGGCGACGTACGACGTACGACTTACGACGACGACGTCGACGACAACGTGCGACGTACGACGTACGACGTACGACGTACGACGTACGACGACGACGACGTACGACGTACGACGACGACGACGTACGTCGTACGTCGCACGACGACGACGACGACGTCCGACGACGACGACGACGACGACGTCGACGTACGATGTATGACGTCCGAGGACGACTTCGACGACGACGTACGACGACGTCGACGACGACGACGACGACATCGACGCCGACGACGACGAACGACGACGACGACGACGTACGACGTACGACATCGACTTCGACGACGACGACGACGACGACCACGGCGACGACGTACGACTTACACCGACGACGTACGACATACGACGACGTCGACGACGACGACGACTCCGACGACTACTTCGACGACGACGCCGACGACGACGACGTACGAGGTACGAGGTACGACGGCGACGTATGACGTACGACGACGTCGACGACGAGGACGACGACGACGACGACGATGACAACGACGACGACGACGTACGACATACGACGTACCATGACGTCTTCGACGACGACGACGACGACGATGACGACGACGACAATGACGACGACGACGACGTCGACGATGACGACGACGACGACGGCATACGACGTACGACGACGACGATGTGAGACGTCCGACGTACGACGACGACTCACGACGTACGACGACGACGTCCGACGTACGACGATGACGACGACGACGACGACGACGACGACAACAACGACGACGACGTCGACAACGACGACGACGACGTACGACGTACGACGTACGTCGACGACGTACGACGTACGACGACGACGACGTACGACGTACGACGTACGACGACGACTTCGACGACGACGACGACGTCGACGACGATGACCCTTCCACAAGCCAGCTCGTTTTGTCTGTCGAGGCACGGCGCTGGGATTCAACGTGGTGGTAACCTCATGCGTGGGCACGCGACGACGATGACGGCGACGACGACAACGACGACGACGGCGGCGGAGATGCTCGTTCTTGGAACCTTCCTGGAATCGCTCGCTCCGCTCATGCATCGATGCTGCGTCGAGCATGCGTCGACTCCAGTGGAATGTGAGTCGAACTTGAGTCGAGCTCTGGAGCTTGAGGAGCGATGGGACGCAGAGTGACGTACTGAGTCCCATGCACCCCCCCATAGGAGGCGCGACTCCCGACCGAACATGCAGTGCACACATCTTGAAGCGCAGCACTACCCAGGCGGCATTGCCAGACAGTAAGATTCCTGAGCGCGCGCGTCGCGCCTGGGAGGCCGAAGCGAGGCCGTGCTCCCAGCGGAGCGCCGACTGCGCCCCGCAGAGGCAGGGCCGTAGCCGCTCCGCCTCGCTTTGACAAACGGTGGGGCCTCTTCCTCTTCCTCTTCCTCCTGTTTCTCCTCCTCCTCCTCCTCCTCCTCCTCCTCCTCCTCCTCCTCCTCCTCCTCCTCTCTCCTCCTCCTCCTCCTCCTCCTCCTCCTCCTCCTCCTCCTCCTCCTCCTCCTCCTCCTCCTCTCCTCCTATTCCTCCTCCTTCCTCCTCCTCCTCCTCCTCCTCCTCCTCTTCCTATTCCTCCTCCCTCCTCCTCCTCCTCCTCCTCCTCCTCCTCCTCCTCCTCCTCCTCCTCCTCCTCCTCCTCCCAGGTATGGAGTCAGAAAAAAATGGGTCGAATCGAGGTGTGCGTCGGATCGGGCCGCATCAGCACGGAGCCAGTCGAATCGGATCGGCTGCGCCGAGATGCACAACAACGCCATGCAACCATCGGGCCGCATCAGATCGTCAGCATGTCGGAACCGAATCGGATCGATCCGGCCAGAATCGATATCGAATCGGATCGGTCGGCTCGAAATGGACCCTGGAGGGTGAGCGAGGCCGTCCTCCGAGGCGCCTGCGAAGGCGAGGCGATGGCCATGGCCGTTCATGTCACTTCAGTTATGATGATGACGACAATGGTAATACTGATGTTGATGCTGACGCTGATGCTGATGCTAATGCTGCAGCTGATGATGATGATGATGATGATGATGATGATGATGATGATGATGATGATGATGATGATGGTGATGGTGATGGTGGCGGTGATGATGATGATGATGACGACGGTGATGATGATGGTGATGGTGATGGTGGTGATGGTGACGATGATGCTGGTGATGATGATGCTTATGATGGTGGTGTTGATGATGGTGGTGGTGATGATGATGACACGGCTTAGAAGGAAAGTTCTTATGCAGAAAATCCTAAAGGCCTCGCGCGGCATCGTAAGACCCACTTTGCGTCGGATTCACGTCGGATTCACGTCGGATCCACGTCGAACTCTCGCCGGACTTATGTCGGAACATGGCCGCGCAAACGTCGTCCCATATCTGACGGGGCTGACGCGTGGACTAGATAAGACGACTATTGCGCGCTGGGCGAGGCCTCCAGGATTTTCCTCAAAGAATTCAGTCCAATTCAATCAACCTGGTCAAAATCAACGTACGGGCTGCGCCGCTGGAGAAAATGCCAAGTAGTGTTCGCGAGGCGCCCGAACGTGATTTTAACGCAGAGTGCGCTTTGCCTTGTTTTCATTGCAGGGCTGGTGGGGGTGTGTCGGCATTGACCCTGGTTAGGGGCTGGTCGAATGGTGGTGGGGGTGTGTATCAATAAAGAGCAGTGTTAAACTCCTAACCCCTCCCAGAGCTGGAAGAGGGAGGTTGAAAGGTGAAACTCTGCAAAACACCCATGCTCAGGGTTAGACATGACAGAATAACATTTGACTATATTTTCTTACCAGGCCGCCTCCCAGGAGAGAAGAGGAGGAAGAGGAGGAATCGGAGCCGAAGCGCGAAGCGCGAAGAGCGAATAACTTCGGGCCCCCGAAGGCGCCCTTGCTTTCCAGCGCCAGCCGTACACGGTCGGGAACTTTTGCCTCGCGTGTCGCGGCGGCCCCGGCGACACGCTGTGCCTTGCAGACGGGTGGCGTGTCGCTCCGCTACGCGAGGCGGGAGGCCAGGAAAGGCTCGTGACGTTGACGCGTAGGGGCCCGGCAGTGGATGGCGTGTGGCGCTGATGCGTGGTGGGCCAGAACCGTCGGAGCGACGCGCTATCCAAAAGGTTCCGATCGTAGGTTTGGATATGAGAGCACCAGGGGGGTGAGACGGTCGCGCATCATGTGTCGGCCTCGCCAGAGCAGCAGAACAGTAGTCTGACAGTCGAGGAGGCCAGCACATTGCGACCGGGGAAACGCCGCTCAAGCAGCTCCTGACATCGCGGTAAGCTGTTTGCCGAAGAAAGCGCGCCGCTAAAATGGATCAGACGCCTGCATTCAAAGTGTTTCGCCTGGAGATGCAGACCCCCCTGGGGACTTTGGAGACGGCCGGGGGGTCTGAACTGGCTGGGACCCCAGAAAAGCGGCCAGGAGGGGGGATGAATGAAGCCAAAGCCGCTCAACATCGGTCCCCCGACCCCTCCTGGGATCCACATGGTGCAATTGTTCACCCCAGATTCGTTTCTCGGTCCCAGGGCCCGAAGACAGGCCCCAGAGGCCCGACAACGACAGAAACCCTTCCAGAACCTGGAGACCTCGAACCTGCCCGCCTTCCTGCTGGCCCGAACCAGGGCGGCTGGGCCAACTCAGACCCCCAGCCGGCTCCAACTGGGACTTGCATGTTTGGGCGATGCCGATGGGCCGCCGCGCCCCCGGCGGTCCCCGTGTGCGGCGACTGCGCTGCAGAGGCCGACCACGCCAGCCTGCTGGCGCCCGGCGTGGCGGGGGCCTCGCTGCGGCGGCGGCGGCTGCGACGACGACGGCGGCGGCGGCGGCAACGACGGCGGCGATGACGACGACGACGACGACGACGACGACGACGACGACGGCGACGACGGCGACAACGACGACGACAACGACAACGGCGGACTGTGGCGGGCGGGGCCTGGGTCGTGGCGACCGGGGACAAGGCCTCGCCCTTCGAGGGGGACATCGCCCTGCTTCTCGAGGGGGAGAACACCATGGACGTCTCCTGTGGGGGGGACGGGCGCTCTTCACCCCTCCTCCTGCTCCTGCTCCTGCTCCTGCTGCTCCTCCTCCTCCTCCTCCTCCTCCTCCTCCTCATCCTCCTCCTCCTCCTCCTCCTCCTCTCCCCTCCTGCTGCTCCCCCTCCTCCTCTTCCTCCTCCTGCCCTGCTGCTCCTCCTCCTCTTCCTCCTCCTCCTCCTCCTCCTCCTCCTCCTCCTCCTCCTCATCCTCCCTCCTCCTCCTCCTCCTCCGCCGCCTCCGCCCTCTGCTCCGCCTCCGCCTCCGCCTCCGCCTCCGCCTCCGCCGCCGCCGCCGCCGCCTCCGCCTGCCGCTCTCCACCCCCGCCTCCTCCTCCGCCTCCGCCTCCGCCTCGCCTCCAGCCCTCCGCCTCGCGCTCCGCCTCCGCCGCCGCCGCCGCCTCCTCCTCCTCCTCCTCCTCCTCCGCCGCCTCCTCCTCCTCCTGCTCTCCTCCTCCTCCTCCTCCTCCTCCTCCTCTCCTCGCTCTCCTCCTCCTCTCCTCCTCCTCCGCCTCCGCCATCCGCCTCCTCCTCCGCCTCCGCATCGCCTCCCTCCTCCTCCTCCTCCTCCTCCTCCTCCTCCTCTCTCCTCCTCCTCTCCTCCTCCTCCTCTCCTCCTCCTCCTCCTCCTCCTCCTCCTCCTCCTCCTCCTCCTCCTCCTCCCAGGGGGACGAGCGACAGGACACCGCTCAATGAAACCGAAAAGCTCTCCAGGCATCATGGCCCCATTTGGACCCTTCCCGAGCCAACCTGGGGCCTCTCTTGGGCAATCCTGGGGCCACCTCGGGCAGTCTTCTGGTTGTCTGGAGGTCTATTGGGGGCCCTGCGTAGTGGAGGCCATCTTGGACCATCGCGTGCCGTCTTGGTGGCTATCTTGAAGGCCGCCTCGCCTTGCCGAGGCCAAGACGGAGGCCACACGCGACACTGCCGTGGCCGAGGGGCGGTTGGCGGGGCTGACCCTCTGTTAGGGGAAGGCCTCTCCTGGGTCTGGACGGAGGGGGCCGCGAGGTGTCAGAGGGTCTTTTGGACCCAAGATGGCTCCAAGAATGCCCCAGGGAACCCAAGATGGCCTCCAAAATAGCAAAATAAAGCGAGATATGCTTCCAAAATGTTCAAAAACAGCTACACAGCCAGTCCCGGAAGACAACCGGCCTCCCTGAGACGTAACCCCAAGAGGCCGACATCACTGAAAAACCAAAAATGTCCAGTGATGTGTGTTTTCTCGCCCTTTCGCTTCCGATGGGTTTTTCGGGCCTAAGGGTGGCTTTAACAGAGCCCCTCGGGGACCCCACAAAGGCTCCCAGACGGCCCCCAAGACCTCCACGAGCGCCCTAAGAAGGCCCCAAGAAATGATTTGCTGGGCTCCGACGGGCAGGGCATAATTAACGCCGCCCTATGTTTTGAGTGATGGACTCCAGAATGGCCCCAAAGGGGCCCCAAAGAAAACCTAAAAGACCCCCAAGAAGGCTCGGAAAGCTCAACTAAGAGCCCCACTTGAGCTCCGAGATGGCTCCACAAAGTTTCCAAAAAGCGCGCCAAGGTCTCAAAATTCCTGGCTGTTGGCTTCTCTGTTTCACAAACGCTTATCTGCTTCCCTTCTACCGACACTTTGCCTGAGCACCATTTCTGGATGGGCCCTTGGAAATACTCACTCTCACTCACAAGTCCTACGCCGAGAGGCGCGTGGACGCAACTAAGACATGCAATGCCAGCTCACGCCGGCCCTCCAGCTGGCCTCACTGTGAATGTTCCCTGCGATTACACCAGCGTGTTTGGCACCTGACTAACCCATTCGTTCCTCGGACGCCCAACCTTCTTCACGAATATTTCCGTGGCCGACGCGCGCGTTCCAGGGATGAAAGTGCACTTCTTCAGCTCGTCCCCCTCCAGCACACGCACCACTCTTTCATATAATAGCAGTTGTTGCTGTAGCAGCTTGCGTGAAACTGACATCCGACCCGCATTCTCCAAAACAGTCTCATCTGAAATTCGTGAAATAAAATATGGGCGCGTTCGTAAAATGAAGCGTCAACATCTGAAATAGAAACCATTGACTCTGCAAACGCCTGCTGCCCGCAGCCACGCGGAATTCAGCCCATGCAAAGAGCCGGCTCACGATGACTGCCTCGAAGACTTCCAGCTTCTGGGACAGCGGCAGCGCCGTTCGCTTCCAGAAGACATTGAGCTTGCAGAATTCCCCCCAAGCTTGACCAATATTGCGGTGGATCTCGTGGTTCACATTCCCGTCTGAACGAATGTCGACTCCAAGGTACTGCAAGGCATCTCCACTAGGGATGGTGTCCCCGCTTGGAGTCCGCAACTGATATTCATAGCCGACTGAGATGAGCTGGAACTTCGACCAGTACAGCGCCATGCCGCACTGTGCTCCAGTGCGCGCGATGCTATTCAGAAGCTCGTGCAGGTGCGTCTGTCCAGCTCCCAGCAGCAAAATGTCGCCCGCGCGCAACAATATCTAGAAATCCGGCCTCCATCTGGTGGCGCGCCGCGTCCGACAGGTTCTGCACCGCGTCATGAATGACAACCGCCATGAGCACGACAAACAAAAACGGCGATAAAGGGCATCTCTGGGAGATGCCAGAACGCTGGTCTTTTTCTGCAGATTCCTGCGCGGGTCCAATCACTGAGAATCGTCTGGCGCCAGCGCCGTAGATGTGCCGCACCATTATTAAGAACTTCGGCGGCAATCCAAGCCGCCCAAGAACTGTGATCACAGCATCGGCATCGATTGAGCCAAATGCCTTCTCCCAGTCCAGAGCTACTACTCCCACTCGACCATGTCGTCCTGCAAGCGTTCGACCGATGCGCCGTCGCAAAGCAAATATCGCATCCTGCGTGCCCCAGCCAGATCTGAAGCCGAACTGCGTGGCCATGCGCCTCCTCTCGGCCCCTGCAGCCTTCAGTCTTTCCAAAAGTACCGTGGCGAACAGCTTGTAAGTCACACATAAAAGGCTGATAGGGCGATAGTTATCGCAGTCTTCAACGGACCCTTTCTTGTGAATAGATGCCACCAGGGCTAGGTGCCAGTCTTTGGGCGTCTCTTCCCCTAGCCAACACGCGTTGCACAATCCAGTTGTCCACAACAAGCCATGTTCTGTCTCTGCCACTGCCCGCCAAAATTCGCCTGACATGTCGTCTGGTCCACAAGCACTCCCGTACCTCAATTTCGAATTGCATCTCCCACCTCTATCTCTGTCAGCAGGTCCGTGCACGCCGGCAGCTCATCGCCAACTTGTGGCCCTTCGATATCTCCGACAGGCTGAACTTGCCACTGAATTTGTTCCAAATGCTCTGCCACTGTGTCGGCCCAGAGGTCGCTGTCCACGAGATTGCCGCTTGCGTGTTTCAGCTTCCCATTCAAGGCATTTTTGAATTTCCTGGTCGCACGGATTTGCCTCCGACCTCCACTGCGAAGCTGCTCATCAGCCCAAAGTGTCTTGTCCCAACCTGGCCTGCTTCCTGGAATTCTTGAGCATTCGTATTTTCAAGGCACTGTTCCCGTTCGCCCGCGCCTGTCTTCGCAGCTCCAGCAAGCGCAGCGTCTCCTCAGATATCCACGGTTTGTTCGCCTTACGCTCCAGCTTTGGCAAAATGCCCGCTGCCTTCCTCATGGCCACTTTCGTCTCCCGCCACATCGCCTCCACGTCAGCCATGTCATCGCTTGCCCGCTCTGTCAAGTGGTGGTTGAAGACCTCTGCGAAATTCCGTCGAATCTGAAAATGCCGGAAGGCTCCTGTGTTATATCGTTTTCCCGCTGGAGGCTCCGCATCTTGCGGGGAAAAAAACAAATCCGCGCAAACCAAAAAGTGATTCGTCGCCAATACAGCTTCCCGGCGCGCCTGTACGACATCAACATGCTTGTAGAAAACACGATCGCAAACAAACAATCCAACATATTGAAGCCGTCGACATAAGTGGCTCTGTATTCGTATTCCGCATCGCAGAAGGTGTTGGCAATAATGAGGTCGTTGCTAATGCAAGCTTTCACCAATATACACCTGTTTGGTACATCAACACTTCGATCGGCAACTCGCCCAAAAGTGCTCTCGCCAATCACATATTCTTCCCCTGGCCGTTGCGGGCCCAACATCGCGTTGAAATCACCGAACATGAGCTTGCCGACGTTCGCCGAATACATACTTTCGGTACTCAATGTCCAGCCGTGTGTAAAAAAAGCGAAACGTTCGTCAAATGGCCGCCCATTGTGCGGAGCATACGCCGTGAAGATGCCCTCCACGCCTCCGCTAACGCGGAGTTTCATACCACATAGCCTGTCAGATACTTGTCGGAATGATTTCATAGACGACGCACGCCTCGGAGATACTATAAAACCAACACCTGCCCACGATTTGGAACCATTGTCGTTCCCAGAAAACATGATGTTATACCCGTTCCCTGTGTTCACGCTGCTGTCGGTCACCCACGTCTCCTGTATGCAGAGAATGTATATGTCGTACTGCTGCATATGGTTGATTAATTCAAAAGCGTTCAGGTCAGTCAACCCCTTCACGTTCCAGGAGCCACAAACTACCTTGTCTCTTGGAAGTACACGAAGCCTCAAGAATTGGCTAAGGATGGGCGGCCGAGAATGCAGGGATGCAAGGGGGAGACTTGATGAAGTGCAGCATCATGAACTCTGATCATGACCGTACCCCTCCTCCGTCCGCCTCCCCTCCAATGTCATCCCACCCCTCTCATCCCGTCCCCCTCCGCTTGCTGGGAAAGCGAAAAGATGCCCATACCAGTACTCCACGGACCTCTCCTGGGGTGCGCTCCGACCAAGATTTCGAGGCGAACCCAGCCGTGGCGACGAGGGAAGGGCAGCGGCACCGGTGCGCGTGCCTCCTCTGACCTGCTCCCGGGAGGGGGCCTCCAGCAGGTCCAGGAACTGCGCCTCCTGGTAGACCATCTGCAGTTCCGCCCTGAGCCCTTCCAGCTCGGCGATCTCCCGGCTGCGGGCACTCAGAGCGCCACCGCCGCCGGCCGCCGCCGCTCCCTGCTGGCCCTCCTCCGGAGGCGGCGGCTCGGCCGCGTGGGGGAGCCGCGCCCGCGAGGGAGGAGCGGCCGCGCGGGGGAGCGCGCTGAGCCCGTCCAGCTCGGCCAGCTGCACAGTCAGGGCGCCCTCGCCGGTCGCCGCCGACCCCTGGGCTCGGGGGGGCACGGTTATCCCCACCCGGTGGGGGGGGGGGCTGGTGGTGCTGAGATGCCATGGCCCAGCGCCACGATCTGCGAACATATCCGTATTCGCGCCCTCGCGATCTGGCACCGGGGCGCGATCCCGCGGACACGCGGTCACACGGATGCGCTCCGCGCGGGGCACCCCCGGAAAAGACGCCCCGCATCCGCGGGGTTCGAGGCCCAGGGGCCCGCCCCGCGGGGCCGCGGATACGGATACGCCCATCGCCTACGACGGTGCAGGCGGGCATCGGTTCAACGGTGCTGACCTGCAGGACCCCCTGCTCGGCCGCGTGGGGGAGCGAAGCCCGCAGCGGGGGAGCGGCCGCGCGGAGGAGCGCGCTGAGCCCGTCCAGCTCGGCGACCTCCCGGTTGCGGGCACTCAGGGCGCCCTCGCTCTCCGCTGTCGCCCCCTGCTGCTGGGGCAGAATGACACCGATACACCGCTACTGCCCCTGAGTGCCCCGCCAGAAGCGCGCGCTCGGACCAGGAGCTCGAGGCGAATCTAGCTGCAGCGACGAGGGCGGCGACGACGACGACGACGACGACGACGGCGACGGCGACGACGACGACGACGACGACGACGACGACGACGACAGCGCCTGCTCGGGCAAAAAGAGGTCGGGGCGGCCCGGGCCCACAGGCGCGGGCGGCCCGCCGTCAGATGGCGAGGACGCGGGGGGCCGCGACGGCGCGGCCCGGCCCGCCGTGCGGCCTGCCCGCGACGCCTCGCCAGGACGGCGAGGACGAGGAGGACGAGGAGTCACAAGAACGCGGCATAGAGGCGCGCCGTGCGTCGAGTCTGTCTCAAAGTACACGGCGATCAGCAGTCCAGCACAGGCCATCGCACGAAACGTCAGAGCGTGCGTGTAGGCACTCTCAGAAGGCATATGGGACAGGGCTCCTCGTCCTCGGGTTCCTCGGCCTCCTCCTCTTCCTCTTCCTCCTCCTCCTCCTCCTCCTCCTCCTCCTCCTCCTCCTCCTCCTCCTCCTCCTCCTCCTCCTCCTCCTCCTCCTCCTCCTCCTCCTCCTCCTCTTCTTCTTCCCCGAGGGTAGCGCGCGCACGTCCGTGCACGCACCGCTGACTAGGAGCTCAGGGCCGCCACTGAGGTGCGCACCTTAGCCCCCTTCACGTGAGGGACGAAGCCCCCCTCCATGGCCCTTATGGCCCGAGCCCCGTGGACCCCTGGCTTTGCGCAGGGTCGGGACAACGATTTGAGTTGCACAGATGTGGCAGCCCCGCAGACCTGGCACCCGACCACCGCAAAGTGGTGGCGGTCGAGCGCCTGATCCGTCGCAAAACGCACAAGCTTGTGGCCGTTGAGTCCGTCGGCAATGATCCGACGGTTGGCCTCCACGGCCCGCGACACCACAGCACCAGGGCACTCCGCCTTCGAGGGCGAAAGAACACGGCACCGCAGGCACCACCTGGCCCCCTCGGGGCCGATCAGCTCGTGACCAAGCTTGGGAAGCACCAACTGCAACACAGGCGCCTTGTTGGGCCTGGCGCCAGGCCTCAACAGAACGGTATCTTGCGAATTCACGGAGGCCCCAGCTCGCGCAATGAAGTGAGCCACGTCCTCGACCAGAACTTGCGCGAGCTGGAGTCTGTCTCGATCTTCTGCCGCCAGTCTACCACGGCTGGCCGCGAACTTCGCCCAGATGTCGGCCGAAAACTCCCGAAGCGATCGCGGCGAGAAATCCGTCCGCGATCGACGTCAGCTTCGGAGAGATGGGCACGGACCCCCCGAACCTGGAGCCCCTGGGGCCCGATCCCTCCAAAGTCATCCAGGGCGGCCCAGAAAACACGCCAGAGTTCGGCCCAAGCCGCCGCATAGGTCGTCGTCCCCTGAGGACCACGCTCTATGCCATCGGTAACAAACTTCGAGTCCGTGACCGCACAGATGGGTGGAGCCGAGACTCGCAACAACTTGACAAGCGCGAACAACTCTGCGCCATCGATGTCACGATAGGCAAACGGCAACCTGCCGCGCACCACATCGCTGATTGCCAGCGGGTCAGCCTCATGCAAAACCACAATCGCCCACCCCGCCGAACTCACGCCGCCCCACCCCCCATCGAATAGCGAGCCGTCCAGGAAGGCTTCGCGGGCGCACAGGATGCCGCCTCCAGCACGCACCTGCCACGTCTCGCAATCATCATCGGGGACTCTGAATGAGTCTGGCACGGGGGGCGATGGCCACAGCCCGCGCTCTAGCAGGCACTTTATCTGCGGGCGCGGCAGCCTCGCGAGCAACATCTGAAACCTGTCGGGCATCAGGGGGCGCTCGCCTTCCGCAAGATCCCCCTGACACTCGCAGCGACGGTGGACCAGGGACCCGACCCCAGGGCAGAGGAGACAACCAGACGACGCTACGTAGCCAGCTTCGCCCTCCTCGCCATCGGCCACTGCCCATTAACCAACACACTCCTAAGATACGCTCCTGCAAGGCCCAACTGCCTAGGTCCCTACACTGGTGGCTCTGGGGCCGCGGACCTTTCAGAAGCCGAAGTACAGGCGCCATCACAGCACCTCTGCCCAGATGTTCGCACCCTTCAGCACCAGCAATCTTGGCCCACTGCCAGGCCTCAATCCCGCGGACCAGGAGCTTCCTGAGGTACCAGACCGAGACGTCCCGAATATCCACAGATACTCCATTGTGCGTGACCCAGGTGAGCACATCATGGTCCGGGAACTTCCAGGAGATCCGATCGAGGGACAGCTTGACGGCCCCGAAGGGCCCCTGGACCTGGGACCACATCTGAACCTTCTTGGCCGCCAGGAGCCCGCCCGACACGGTATTCACGGGGATCCAAGCTTCCCACAGAGCACGCGCGAGGGCAAGGACTGGGAGCAGCGTGGCCCGAAAAATCGGATCGAGCTCCTTGCCCAGCATGAGCGCCATTGCGCTGGACTTACCTGCGCCCTGCCTCTCGATCGCCGAAAACATGAGACTTCGAATCGAATCCAGCTCCGTAACCGAGGTATATGTCACCGAAGCCGCATAAGATACACCTGCCTCCATTCCTGCACGCGCCACAAGCTGAGCTGCCACTCTCTTGCGGGGTCCACAACAAAACCTCCGAGGACGACGCATTTTCGACCGCGCCGAACGAAGTCGTTCATGTCTGACCCGTCGAAGAACACGACGCCCACGGGTGAAATCAACCCCGAGGTTTCTTTCATGCCTGGACGCCAGGGCCCCGATACGAACAAGTTGCCGAGCGATATCCGAACGCACCTCGCTGCTGTTGGACATCACGCGCGTATTGTCGTCATGCAGCTGTAGTTGGCACGCACCCAGTTCACGTTGAAGCGCCTTCGACGCCTGTGCTATTTCTCGAGTGACGACCTTATTCGAACCAATTCTATGAAGAATAATATCATCGACCACCACGAACGGAGCCACCGACCGTCCTAGTGACCATACTCGTTCGAGAGGCTGGGGTAGGGCAAGCTCGGGGAAAGTGGCGGCCCATCCGTCGCCAGGCAAGAATGGCATGATCGACCTGCAGCTCGTCCGAGACCGCGGTGCCGAGAGAGGAACCTCGGCGCTCTGTACAATGGAACCTGCAGCCGCAACTGCCAGAGGGGGAATCCTGTTCCCAACGCCGCCTCCAGGAGCCAATGGTGCTGAACCTGTTCGAATGCTTTCAGGAGGTCCATCACCACCTGGGCCGACGTCCATAGGCCCGCCTGGGCCCCATTTGCCTTTCAACGTGGTCCATTCGGACCACGCCGACTGTTGCCACACGGCCCGCCCACGCTATTTCCCAGGGGCAGCACACAAATAATGCCGTGCATTCTTCGCCTCCCACTCTTTCGCGATGGGCATTCTCAACCTGGCTTGGACCCTGGCGACGACATGGAGCAGCGCGATGGGGCGGACCCCGCCCAATCGCTTGGCCAAAAACGCAACCTTCGCAGCCAGCATCGGTCACTCGGCCGCGGCCTCGATGGCCATTATCAGGTGGATCAAACATTCGACCGCGGAGTCGCACAACTCGCGTAGCTGCCTCGGCCTGACGGCGCAGAACCCCATCCCAGACATGGCCTTGAAGGACCTCAGGACCCTGCGCATGTAGTCGGGCGTTGGCCGAGGGGGCCTCTCCCCAAGATCTCCAGGCCAGCTAAGTATGGAATGCTCCTCCCCTAGATTCCACCAGCGACCCCAAGTTTTCTGCAACTTGTCAACCTCTTGCTGCTTATTGAGGGGCTTGGTGGGGCCCTCTGGGTCCATGGAGCTACTTTGCCAGCCATGGGGGGCCCTTAGAAAGCGCGCGGGGCCCACCAGCATCCCCCACAGACTGCTCCGAGACCCACCTCCTGCATTTAGCAGCACGCCGCTGCAAACCACGTCGGGCCACGCGCGAGGCCCCTCTCTTGATCTCCTGACTCATGACGTAGACCACCTTCGGGTCCAGGTCCCAGACGGGGAGGGAGGTAACCAGGGCCCACCAGAGGTTGCCAATGGACGGACCACCCAGTCGAACACACCCAGGAACATCCCGAATCAGTTTGCGCACCGCTCGAAGCGCATTGACCCGTTTAACTGGTTGCCCCACCTGAGAGGCACAGGACATCGATGCACCCAACTTCCGCAACCAGATGGCCTCGGGGGACAACTTCGGGAACTACGGCGGTAGGGGGGGGGGGCTGCGAGCGAACCCACTTGGGACGAGGAAGCTGCGCTCTGCCGAGATGTTTCGAACGATCTTCTTCAACTTGGTATACATCACACCACTCGTGCCCCGCTGCACTGATGAACATCTCCCATCCCTTGGACAACCCCCCAGCTCCTCCCGATCACGCGGGCATGCTATGACGGATCTGCTCCCACATATCGTTGAAGTCGACCGAGACACACCCTGACGGGCGAACTGCTGGAAACGGTCGCGGCACAGGCATGACACGCATCCACGGCTGGCTCAACCCCGACTTCAAATCCAAGGAGACTGCCGTGTGGGGACTCACCGGGATTGAAGGCTCCGTCTGCACCTGGGTCGGTACCAGGTGGCTAGAAACGAGAAAGAAATCAAACACACGACAAGCTGGCGCACATGTGCCCACCTGTGGGGCCCACACCGAACACGGCAGAAAATCAAAGATACCAGCCTCTTGCAACTCCTGCGGGGTGGCATTGAAGTCGCCCCCGATGATGAACGGCTTGCCTATACACCGCACAAGCTCAGTGATGCCCAGCAGGAGACTAACATTATCGGGCGACATGCCCTGCCCCGCGTGCCGCGTGCAAGTAGACATTCACCACGACAACGCCCGGCTTCACAGAGCCTGAATGACATGATATTGACGCTCTTCCCGGTGCAACCATGGCCGTTCTACCATCTTCCACGAACCCAAGGCCATGTCGAGCGGGTGCAAGCGTGAGCAGCCCGCCAGGCCCAGGTAGACCTGGCTCGCACCCCACTGCAGGGAGAGCGAACGCATGCCATCCAGTTTTGACTAGCTTTCCGGTTGCGTCGCCACCCTGGCGATGCCCCAAGTGGGTTTCTTGCACAAAGATCAAATCTGCCTGTCTAACCAAATCCATTTCCAACAGCGGCTCGAAACTGGAGTAAGCATTCACGTTCACCGTCAGCACCGCCCACGTGAACTCACGCTGGAAGCCGCCCACCAACACTGGGCCTGTCGTTCCCGAAGGAGGCTGGGCATCAGTCGACGACCTCCCCTGGGAGGCGCGGGGGCTGGCCGTCGCCCCCCCCCCCGCCTGGCCGCTGCAGACTGGCGGTTTGAATCCATCACGAAGGGGAATACTGTGCACATCGTCTCCTGAGCCTGGGGCAATATCAGTAGGCGGCTGCCCCCAACGCCCTGACCCAGAAAGACGCGGCCCAGCGGCAGGAGAGGCGGCGCCTCCCGACTGTCCCGACTCGGCAGCGTTACTGCCCAGCCGCCGCCTTGTCGGCCCAGGGGCTGCGCCTCTCCTGCAGACGACCCGATCCGAGAAGTCGACGCCGAGGGCCCAGTCGACGCTGAAGTCCCTCTCCCATCTCCATCGCCAGCTCGCGCGGGTCGGCAGCACGCAATCCTGAGATCGCCGTCGCCATGCTGCTCCACGTCGCGCTGGCTCTCGTGGTGGATGGCAGGCGCGGCCTTGCCCGTCTCCCCCACCCACTCGACGCCCACCTGGTTGCACTCCCAGGTGATGTTGAAGTGCACCATGCCGCCCACGGGGCTAGGAAGAAGACACAGCAGGATCAGCCTCGCCCACGCCATGCTCAGCACGCGCCCGCTTGCTGGCCATCTCGGCCTGCAGCTCCGCCACGAGGGCCTGACGCTTTTCCGCGTCGGGCGCGCGCATGCCTCCGATGTCAGCGTCCTGCTCGCGCAGGAACTCTCCCCAGGCGATGTCCTCATCGGCGGGCACGTGGATCGCGACGTCACCTGGCGCCTGCTGGGGCGCCTTGGCTGCGGCGGCTCCCGCAGCGGGCTCCTCGCCATCGGGGGCCTCCCCGTCGCCCGACGGGGGCGGCGCTGGGGTCTGCACGGCCACCGCCTGGAGCAGCGCGGTGAGCGGCGCGGCGAGGTTGGCGCCGACCTGCGCCTCCCATCCAGGGTGGCCCTGCAGCACGGCCACCACCTGGGGTGCGGCCTCGAAGCCCGACGGTTTGGGCCGCTGCGGTGCGTCGACCCCCCACCACGGCCAGGCGGTCGCGCTCAGCCTTGAGCACGGCGAGCTCCGCCTCGACGGTGGCCTTCCGCTCCTTGGCCTCGGCGAAGGCCAGCATGGCGGACACGGCGGCGTCTCGAGCCTTTCGCAAGGCTCCCTCAGCACGTAGTAGTTCTTATCCACCTGCTGCTGAACACCCTGAGCCAACTGCACGGATCCAGGGAGCCCATTCGCCTTGCGCCAGCGCGTGTGCTTGAGCTTGTCCCGAGCACTTTGAGACAAAACGGCTGCAGCAGCATCAAACTGGTCCGTTGACATCGGCAGCCAGATTTGCAACTGTTCATCGCCGAGATGCCCAAATCCTGCAGACGAAGGCTTCGCAGGCAGTTTACTCCAGAGTTCGTAATAAAAGGGAGGGGGTCTGGACCCTCCAATACAAGCCATTTCAGACCTCCCCCGTGGGAGAACCCTCCAAAACATCGTCCCCAGACCCCCCAGGCCCTCCAAGATAGCCTGGAAGAGGCCCCCCCCGAAATGAGACCCCCCTCCCTTTCTTACGAAATCTGGCGTACCTTCAGACTTATCTCCTTTGTCGGCACCCTTACCCTTGCTCTTGACCTTTCCCGAGGCTCCACTCGCGGCAGGCGGTCCCAGCAGCCACTTCCCACGAGGCCCCTCAATCCACGGCGGAGTACTGCCAGGAACAGGGCCAGAAGGGCAATGACCGTTGCAATTGGGCTGCCTGCATCGCTTACGACACCCATTGTTCTGATACCCACACACTGCGCAGCCCCAACAGGGCATGGACATGGCGTGTGGTAAAATATTCGATCTAAAACCTCACTTGACCCGGTCGTGAGGCGTCGCAAACGAACCGCTGACTCCCCCACGCCAGTAAGGTCAAGTCCTGAGCCCGAAACGGCTACGGACTTGGGCCAAAATTGCTACGGACCCTCCTCCTCATCCTCCTCCTCCTCCTCCTCCTCCTCCTCCTCCTCCTCCTCCTCCTCCTCCTCCTCCTGGACTCCTCCTCGTCCTCCTCCTCGTTTCCCTCCTCGTTCCCTCCTCATTTCCATCCTCGTTTCCATCCTTGTCGTCCTCGTCATGCTCGTCGTCGTCCTCGTTGTGTCGGTTGTCGCGGCTGCCAGCCGAGACTGGGGCAACTCCAGAAAAAGCGGAGCGTGCGATGCGGGATCAGGGGCGGGTAGCCTGAAGGTGCCGCGGACACTACGAAAGGCGACGAGGAGGCGGAGGAAGAGTGGGCGGCGGCGGTGACGGCAATGCGGCTCGCGCCGTGGGGAGCTGGTCGGATACATCGCAATCGGCACCGGCATTCGACGCCCCAGAGTAGCTCGGCTCGTCATTGACGTGTGGGGTGTCATTGGCGTGCGTGGAATCACTGGCGTGCGTGAAGTGCATTGGGTAGCCTGTAGGCGGTGGCCGCGCCACTGGTGCCAGGCGGGGCGGGGCCCCCCAATACCGCCCATGAGGCAGCTACAAAGAGAGAGGGAGAGAGATGTACAATACTCAGGTAAGCGAAAGGAGGCCCTTCTGAAAGCCTGATGCTTCTGACGGGGGCTGGAGGACGAGGAGGACGACGAGGACGCGGAGGACGAGGAGGGACGAGTGGACGAAGAGGACCAGGAGGACGAGGAGGGCGGCGGCGACAAAGACGAGGACGACGATGGCGACGACGCGACGAAGGCGACGACGACGGCGACGATGACGACGAGGCGCGAGGCCCGGTCTGATCGGCACGTCGACGTCTTCCACCCCCCACCAATGTTGACGTCTGATCGGCATCTCCCCCCCACGTCGACAGCTTCGTTTCGGGCATGTTTGGGCGTCGCTGGAGGACTTCCCCGCCACGGCTGCGTGCAGCTCGAAAAGCTGGCCAAGACGGAACCTTAGAGGGGTCCTGGGACCCATTTTGATCGGATCTTGGTTGGTTCTCCGGCAGGTTCGATTTTGATCGGATTTGGGTTAGTCCTCGATCCTCCTCCTCCTCCTCCTCCTCCTCCTCCTCCGCCTCCTCCTCCTCCTCCTTCTCCTCCTCCTCCTCCCCCACCTCCTCCTCCTCCTCCTCCTCCTCCATCTCTTTCTTCTCTTCTTGCTCTTCATCCTCCACCTCTGGCTGCTCTGGCTCCTCCGCTTCCTCCCCACGCTTCGTTTCTCTTCCCGCCTTCCGTATTGGGCGCTTCGGCCAACACTCTGATTGTTCGTTTGATCGGCACGATGACCACCCCTTGACTTCTGGCCGATCCCTGAAACCCTGAACCCAACAATCGTGGCATCGCTTGGGAGGCCGAATCTTACATCCGTCGGCTTCCGCCCGCGGAGGCGGCCTCGTTGTGCTTCCGCAGGTTTCCTCCGACCTCCCGCCGCCTCCCGCCGAGAAAGAGATGCCAACTCCTTCGATCCCTCGAAGCCAGGGCCCTTTCTCTGGAACGCCTCTCATGGGCGCGGCGCGCGACGACCGGCGCAGCGACGGCCAGGGCCGCCCAGGGGGGGGGGGGGCCAGAGCGCGGGCGGGCCTCCCTCGCCGACGCCATGCGGGCGTTGATGCGCTCCGACTCCCTCGCCGACGCTGGGGCCTCGGCGTCGTCGGCCTGGACGGCCGCCTCCTCCTCCTCCTCCTCCTCCTCCTCCTCCTCCTCCTCGTCCTCCTCCTCCTCCTCCTCCTCCTCCTCCTCCTCCTCCTCCTCCTCCTCCGCCTCCTCCTCCTCCTCCTCCTCATCCTCCCTCCTCCCTTCTCCCCCCTCCCTCCTCCCTCCTCCCGTTTCCCTCCCTCCTACCTCCCACTCCCTGCCTATCGGGTCGGTGATTACTCTGGAGTGGCCACTGCGTCTGCATCCAGACGTATACACAGGCCAACTGTCTTCGCCCTGCACCTGTAGAGCGGGCAGCGGAGGCACGGGGACTTGCAATTGCAGCTTGAGCATCAGATGGTGCTCCCGAGAGTGGAGGTTCGTATGCTGAGCATTGGCATCGCCATCGATCCGATTTGGGGCGACCTCACGAGGGAGGGGACGATCTTGGAATGGGCTGAGCATATACGAGCACATCGTGTCATCAGCACGGGCGTGGACCCCCCCTGCGAGACCTGGTCTGCGGCCAGGTGGCAGGAGGGGGGTCCCCCACCCCTCAGGTCTACGGAGCACATTTGGGAAGTCCCGTGGAGTGCACCTAGCCAGTCTGAGCAACTGAAGGTAGGTAGCATGCTTCTACACGCTCTTGTGCGCCTTGTGGCGGAGCACCTCCGTGCGGGCACGAGGGCCTGGCTCGAGCACCCCGCTCCTGCTTTATGGGCCCCTAGGGCCCCGACGTCCTTTCGGTGGCCGCCTCTTTTGGCGGTTGCCTCGGCCCCTTGTGCGGCCACGTGCGTGTTCGACCAATGCGAGCATCAGGCCCCCGATACCGACCCTGCCGATTTTGGGAGGGCCCCCACCTGTATAGTCAGCATTCTATGCCTACGTTGTACAATGAACTTCGCGACACCCCCCCGCCGGTCAGGGTAAGTGTTCTCACGGTCCTGGGGACCATCTTTGCCTCCTGGGGAAGGACGCTCAAGGCCGCTTTTTCACGGCGCCCAAGAAGATATATCCCCCAGGGATGTGCCTTGCCCTTGCCAAGAGCATCAGAGCTAGCCTTTTTCGGGTGTGTGCCGAATCGGCCAGTCAGGCTGACACGAAACTTGTGGAAGACGCCGCCCTCGTCGAGGGCGAAATTCGGAATTTTTATGTCTCGTGGGAGGGTCCGTCCTCCTCCGCCCCCCCTGACCCCAGCCTTCAGCCCGACTTCGCGGGGGCCTCGGGGATCCGCCGTGGGCGACGACACGTTGACCCCGAGCCGGACACGTTCAAGGAGTCGGAAGATTTTAAACCCGCGTGTTCCCGCCCGCGAGTGGGTGCCCCTGGTCTCGTCACTCCGCGCAGGCCGAAAGACCCGAGGCGGGGTGGGCCAGCGGCCTCATCTCACGGCGTCTTACTGCCGCCACTCTGTGACTCATGGAGTCGCCCCGTGAGCAGCGGCAGTCTGAAGAATGCTGCCGCCGCCCACTCAGAGCTTGAGGAGCAGCCTGATGGACGGCCGCAGCCGCTCCTCCGCTCTGCGCTCTTCCAGGGACCGCCCTGGCTGCTGGTCCCTGGACTCATGGGCCTTCTCGATCGCCCTGCCTGGCGCAGAGCTGTGGCCTAACCCCTCGCCACGCTGGGGCGCGTTGCGGCCTAACCCCTCGCCACGCAGGGGTCCTCCGTGGCCTAACCCCTCGCCACGCTGGGGGTCGGTGCGGTCTAACCCCTCACCGCGCTGGGGATGCTCGTGGCCTAACCCCTCGCCACGCTGGGGGCTGCTGCGGTCTAACCCCTCACCGCGCTGGGGCGCTCCGTGGCCTACCCCCTCGCCACGCAGGGGCCTGTTGCGGTCTAACCCCTCACCGCGCTGGGGTGCTCCGTGGTGGCCTAACCCCTCGCCACGCTGGGGTCTGTTGCGGTCTAACCCCTCACCGCGCTGGGGCCCATCGTGGCTTGACCCCTCGCCACACTGGGGGTCAATGCGGTCTAACCCCTCACCGCGCTGGGGAATGTCGTGGCCTAACCCCTCGCCACGCTGGGGGCTGCTGCGGTCTAACCCCTCACCGCGCCGGGGTGCTTCGTGGCCTAACCCCTCGCCACGCAGGGGCCTGTTGCGGTCTAACCCCTCACCGCGCTGGGGTCCCTTGTGGCCTAACCCCTCGCAACGCGGGGGCCTGCTGCTGTCTGTCCCCTCTCCACTGTGGGGTCCTCCGTGGCCTAACCCCTCGCCACGCTGGGGATCGTTGCGGTATAACCCCTCACCGCGCTGGGGTACTCCGTGGCCTAACCCCTCGCCACGCTGGGGCCTGCTGCGGTCTAACCCCTCACCGCGCGGGGGTACGCCGCGTCTTGCACTGTCCCCATCCTCGGTGCTGCTGCCCCCTGGCTCGGGCGGGGTCCCGCGACTTTGCCACTCGCTGTGTTCGCGGTTCACGTGGTATCCGCGGGCCGTGCCCTCCCCCTCGCGTTCAGACTGTCGGTTTCCCAGGGTTTGGGTCCGCTCTGTTAGTTGCGAGGTCCTGTCTACCACACTGTTGGTCAAAAGGTCCGCGTTTTGCTTATTGGGCACGTCATAGGCTTCCGCCTCAAGCCTCTGCTTGCCTTTGGTCCTGCGGCCTGCCCCCTCATCGCGCAGGGGATTTCCGTGGCCTAACCCCTCGCCACGCAGGGGTGCCTTGCGGTCTACCCCCTCACCGCGCTGGGGTGGGTCGCCGACGATCTTATCCAAGTCCCGCTGCAGGTCTGTATCGTCGTAGTCTGCCACCTTCTCAGGCTGCGCTGTTTTGCGGCCTAACCCCTCGCCACGCGGGGGAGCGCCGAGTCTCGCACTGCCCCCATCCTCGGTGCTGCTGCACACTGGCTCAGGCGAGGTCCCCCGACTATGCCTCTCGCTGTGTTCGCGGTTCACGTGGTATCCGCGGGCCAAGCCCTCCCCCTCGCGTTCAGTCTGTCGGTTTCACAGGGTATGGGTCCGCTCTGTTAGTTGCGAGGTCCTGTCTACCACACTGTTGGTCAAGACGTCCGCGTCATGCTCACTGGGCTCGTCAGGGACCTCCGCCTCGATCCTCTGCTTGTCTTTGGATCTGCGGTCTAACCCCTCACCGCGCTGGGGTCCTCCGTGGCCTAACCCCTCGCCACGCTGGGGTCCTCTGCGGTCTGCCAGGTGGTACCCTATGCTGTGCTGTGCATCTGGGAACTGCTGGTGGTTGTCATCGCTGCACTGCTTGTCTACGTCCTGCTGGGGGCTGTCCTCTCTGTTCTCCTCTTCAGGGAAGTGGTCGAGGTCTGCCATGTCCTTGGTGCTGCGTCCTGCTGGTGGGGGACGGGCACCCCTCTGCATCCCGTCTGGCGCAGGGCTGTGGCCTAACCCCTCGCCACGCTGGGGTCCTCCTCGGCCTAACCCCTCGCCGCGCAGGGGTCCTTGGTGGCCTGTCCCCTCTCCGCACAGGGGCCTCCTCGGCTGTGTGGCTGGAGCCCTGCTTGGCACTCGCCCTGCTGCTTGTGGTCGCGGGCTGCGGCTCCTCACTTCTGGCTCAGTCACGCCCAGGATCTGCTCAGCCGTTGCTCTGCGCCGCTCTGCCTCCTTCGGGTCCTGCTGCTGGATCTGTCTGCGCTCCTCTCCGCTGTTGAGCCATGCCAGGCGGCAGATCTCCTCCGCCGCTCGGCGCTGGCTGCGCTGGCGGCTCGTCCCTGACACGTGGCTGAAAAGCCTCTGATAGACGCCAGTCTGCAGCGCCCTCATCACATGGGGCACGCACGCGGCCTGCCACGATGGCCAGCCCAGCTCGCCCTCTTTCTGGCTCCAACAGCCTGCCAGCGACTGCATGAGCTGCTCGAGCCTGTTCCTCTCGAGCCACGCCACCTCCTGCTCGGGGTCCTGGTCGGCTTCTCCTTTGTTGTGTCGAAGCCTTGGGTGGAGCAAGCCGGCCTCGTCAGCTTCGCTCACGAACTTCATCAGGTCGGGCCCCACTGGCTTGGTCAGCGTTACTGCCACCTGCACTGCCGCCTGCATCAGGCTGTTGGCGTCGTGCCTCTGATCAGGTCCCGCCATGGTCTCCATCTCCTGGCTGCTCGGCTCACCCTCCAGCTCTGGGGCTTCACTGTCTGGGGTCGAGTCATCATCGTCCAGGTTCTCCGGTGACCACTCTCGGCTGGCCTCCGCTGTTCTCGGCAGCGGCCTGCGCTCACTGCTGGGGATGCTGTGCGTTATGATGTTGTTCCTTCTGTTGTGGAAGGCGTCCATGTGCACTCTAGCTGCCTGCTGCCACGTGCCATGCGGGAGGGTAAGCACCCTGGTCATGAGCCTCCGTCGCGTGCGGTGCGTGTTGCGCCAGACTTCTTCGCAGAAGTCCTTTATCTGCTGGATCTCCTGCACGGTGACGGCCCTGGTCTGCTCTTGCGTGCCCGTTCTGCCACCCACATTGGTGATGGCCAAGAGGTACGGTACGCAGTGCTCCATCCAGTCGCCCATGTCGTCCCAGACCTCTTGGTCGACCATGTTCATCCACAGCTCTGCGTAGCCCTCCATGTGGTCGACGAGCCTCAAGCTGGCGTGGACGACAGAGTACGGATGGCTGGGTGGCTGCTGCGGAGCTGGCTGCGGGTCCCCTGCCTCTGAGCTGTCCCCGTCCAGATCGATCACCTCGTGGTTGCTCACCGAGCTTGAAGCACCTGGCATGGTGATCTCGTCGAGACCCTCATCAGCTGGGTCTGCTGCTGGCTTAGCTCCTCTAGGCAGCTTGCCCCTCTGCATGTCCTCCAAGACTCGCCGCCCTGCTGCTGTTGGGGGCTGACATGGCCTTGCCAGCTTCCTTGCCACTCCTGCCACGATCCTGCTCTTGTGGTCCCCAAGGTAGCTGGTGCCGCCACATTTCTCGCACCAGAGCCAGCCATGGGTGCACTGCGTCTTGTGGGAGCCGTGCACCACCTGCGTGCCGATCTGCACCGCCTTGAAGTCGAGCCTGACGTTGCCGTGCTGGTCCTGGTGGCCGCCGTACTTCCCGAGGCATTTTCCCGTCTCTGCCAACCAGTCTCTGATGCTTTGTCCTTTGGCTGGGCCACTGCGGCACGTTGCACACCACCATCGCGGATGTAGTTTCCGCAGGTCGTGTCCCTGCTGGGCTGCCCTGTCCCTCGCCGTCTGCGGCTTTCGCCGCTTGGCCTTGGGACGCTGAGGGGCCTTGTTGGGGTCCTCCACCATCACCGCCATGTTGATGGCCAGCAGCCTGTTCTGCACCGCCACGGTGATCTGGTCTCTGATCTGCTGCTGCACGATGATAGCTGGATCCAGTGCTCCGTGCTCCGCCCCCCAGCCTGCGCACTTATCTGCCATCTCGTTACCTATGACCCACCAGGTGGGACCATTCCACCTCTCCAGCTCTGTTGGGTGCTCAATAAGGTGGCTCGGGATGTGGTGGCCCATGATGGTGTCCGTGCTGTTCTGTAGCTGCTGCTTCGTCTGGAGCCAGAGGTCGTAGTTCGTGCTCCTGTAGTCCAGATCCTCAGGGTCCTGGATCTGCTTGAGTGCGTCCAGGGCGTATTTGCAATCGCTGACTATGTTTAGCCCCCTGACTGTCGCCGCCGTGGTGTACCCGATGGCTTTGCTCATGGCGGCGAGCTCTGCCCGTGGCACCGTGTGCGGTGCCCTGATTGTGCCGTACCAGGCAGCCACTTCCTGCGGGCGACCTTGTTCGTCGAACCTGAATGCCACCACTGCCCAGCCGCAGCGTCTGAGGCGGGGGTCCCTGGCCGTTTCCCCTACACCACCTGAGCCGTCCGTATTTTTTTTATTATTTTTTTTTTTAAAAAAAAAAAAAAAAAAAAAAAAAAAAAAAAAAAAAAAAAAAAAAAAAAAAAAAAAAAAAAAAAAAAAAAAAAATCTGCTCGCACCTTGTGCCCTGACTGGGCTGCAGCTTGTGCCTCTTCACTGGTGCAGAAGATCTGCGCCGCCTTCGCCGCGTCCTCGTCTGGGTCGACCTTGGCTGCCCAGGCCGCTGGCGGGATGCCTCGGAGCCAGAAATGCAGGTCCTGCCGCTGGTCCAGCGCGTCCTTCGCCTTCTTCGCCAGGTCGGTGTCATTGCTGTGCCCTATTTCTGCGTTGGCAGGGCAGGCGTAGTAGCGGTGTTCCTCTGTCTCTATCGCCTCGCCGCATCTCGCGCAGGTGTCATCGCCTTCTTGGTTGAGGTTGGCCGCCCTGCGACGCTCCCTGGTCCAGATGCCTGCCACCGCTATGGTCTCCAGCATTGCTGCCTCTGCATGCTGTCCTTTACGCCTCCTTCTGCTCAGGTGGCGCTGCAGCTGATAGAGGTCGCCTCCTGCCTGAAGTCCTTCTCCACTGCGATGGCCAGCTGCCTGCTGCCAGAGCTGCTGCTGCGCGCTCTGCTGGACCTCATGCAGAAGCGCGCCGAAGTGGGGAATGTCATCTGGCTTGTAGGCCCACTCGTCACCTGCTGGGCTGATCCAGCTGTCCAGGCGTCGCGGTATCCAGCCTAACCCAAGCAACTGCACAATGACCCCTGCCATGGGCCCCTTGACCTGCTGCCACCTGCGGTTGGGTTCCAGGGCGCCCAGCTTGGCGTAGAGCAGGAGCCAGCCCCTCTGGTACCTCTTGAGCTCCGTCGGGTGGTCGACTACGGTGAGCCAGAACTGCTTGATCTGGTCGCCGATGGCTCGGGTTACTGCCTCTTGCATACCCCTCTGGATCAGGAGGATGGTGGACGTGCAGCGTCCAGCCTTGTGTCCGCCTGTGAGGAGCGCTGCCTCCGTTGCCCTGACCAACTTCGCCTCCGTGGGCGTGATGCCGTGCGCTGGTAAGTCCCAAGCCTGCTGGCAGTAGGCACCTGCTGCATAGACCTTTGCCGCGCCTCTGGCGTCCGTCTTCGCCAGGTCCCTGAGCTTGGCCACCCTCTGCTTGGCCTTGGCCTGGCGCGCGGCATGGGTGGGTCGCCGCAGTTGCTTCCCAAGGCTGGTGTCCACGCCGAGGTCGCGCACTACCCCTGGTTGCTTGTTGGGGGTGCCCGGGCTGTCCAGGATGCTGGCGACTTCTGCCTGGAGGTCCTTGTCCGAGGCCACCACTGCCGTCTTGACTGAGATGGGGGTCGCGAGCTGCTTGAAACCATCGTGCACCAGCGCCGCCACGTGCTTGATCTGGTCAATGACCTGCCGCCGCGCGCCCTCTACCTGCAGGGCCAAGTCGTCCAGGTACTGCTGCATGACGACGAAGATATGGTGCCTGTGCGCTGCATCCAGGATTCCATACAAGAGCGGTCTGGTGAGGTCTACCGCTTGGCCACAGCCTGCTACCATGCTGTTGGCAGGCTCAAAGATGTCCGAGAAGAGGCTGTGGGCCATGATGGCCCTGGGCGCAAGGTACATCTGCACGGCCATTGCCAGCGGCAGCAACGGGTACTGGAGGGCACTGGCCTTCTCGATCAGCTGGTCGAGGCCTATGTTGTCGTAGAAGTTTGCCGCGTCGTAGAACACTCCTGCTGCATGAAAGCCCATCTCCGTGGCGGCTTCTGCCCTCATAAGTCTGTGCATTGCCACTCGTAGCGCTGAGGAGCCAGCTACTGCCGTATCCCAGAAGCCCGCCGCTGCCTTGCTCCAGGTGGCTACTATGGGCCTCCTGGCTGCGCTCCAGATGCGGTACGGCATGGGCATGAGGCCGATGGGGCGCTCTCCCCCGATTCCTGGCTTCTTACCCAGCAGCAGCTCCAGCACCAGGTAGAATTGCCACGGCCAGGCTGCCCGTTGCTCACAGCTGGTCAGGCATTGCACGAAATCTTCCAGCCCCTGGGCTCCCATGGCCTTGAGCTCTGGAGCCCTCCACCAGTCCGCTCCTTGGCCTGCATTGCTCTTCAGGTGCTGGATGATGGAGCCTATGATGTCCTTGCTGATGGGCTCGAGGGCATTCTCTTGGGCCAGGGCAGCCTGCCTCAGCTTGACCAGCGCCTCTTGGATCCTCTCGGCCTTCTGCGCATCTCGTGTCCACCTGCGTTGCCATGCTTCTTTGCGCAAGTCCACCAGCTGCTGCGGGTGGTTGATGACCTGGCCCTCGTGCTCTAGGATGTCCTCCAGATGGCTGCGCTCCGCTGCTTTGGTGTAGGCGTGGGCCATCTTCGCACTGCCAGCCGTGGCGTCATGCACCCAGTGGATGTACGCCTTCTTCACCGCCTTTGTGAGTAGCTTGGCCATGCTCGTTACCTCCTCTGCTACCCTGCTGATCGTCCCTGGGTCCACGAGGGCGCCCTCTGCTATGGCGTGCAGGTCTGCGAGGAGGGCCTGCTGCTGGTCCTTGGCTGCACCTTCATCGTTCAGCCTGCCTGGGTCAGGCTGGTTGAGCTGCTGCGCAAGCTGCTGTCTTGTGTTGATCTGCTGCTGCGTCTGGCGGCCACTGTGGGTGCGGACCTGCTGCTCTCGGCGGCTACTCTGGCCACTGCCTGTACCTGGAGCATCATGTAGTTGTCTTCGCGCTGCTCCTTCTGGTGCTCTTTCGCCTATGACTTCTCGCATGCACCTCCGCAGGTTTGCGAGCTCCCTCCAGTGCATCGTTTCCAATTCGTACCTCCTCGTCGGCACCTCTCGCGCAAGTCCTTGGAGAAAGCCTCGGCGTCGTGGTTCTGCATGTCTCCATGCTCGCTCGCAGGGGTCCCGTAAGGAGTCGGAAGATGAGGCGGAGGAGGAGGATACTCAGGAAGAGAGCCCTCCTGCGAGCCCCCGTTTTGGGGCCCCCTCGGAGGACATAGAAGCCTCCGAGGAACAGGCTTTCCTCGACTCGGCCGAGGATGACGCCGCCGCCTGGGCGTTCGGACCCTCTCCTGTCCCTCCGTCGTCTCCCCCCCCTACCCCTCCCCCTCCGTCGCCTCTCCCCCTCACCGACGCCCAGTGCGCGCGGATTGCCGCCCACCGAGAGGAGGCCAGGCGCCGTCGCGCGGCCCGCCGCGCCGCCGAGGCGGCGGCCCGCGCCGTGCCGGTGTCCATCGCAGGTCTGTATGGTGGACCAGTTGTGTCTCTCCCGTCAGGCCCCTTTGCAAACCCTGTTCAGATGGCCCCGAGGGAGGCGCTGCTTCTTTGATCTTGTGATCTTGTGATTTTGTCTCTCTTATCTCTGTCTCCTGCTGCATTATATCCATCTAGCAGGTATAAAGAGTGCCACTTGAGTTGAGGACGGTGGACTGCCATTCCCATCGTTCGACGACGACGACACACCCCCTGCCTTCCTCCTACCTTACATTTTCTCCTTTCCTCTTCCTCCTCCTTCTCTCCTCCTCTTCCTCCATACCGGGGGAATTGTGGAGTCACTCCGTGTTCCAAATCGCGCGCGCGAAGCTTTTACAATAAGTTCGCGCGTACGTGTTTGAATGCGTTTGTGGCGGTGCGCGCGCATACTCTGCGTGCTCTTTCGCGTGCTCCTCCTCGTCCTCCTCGTCCTCCTTCCCTGCACCCGCCTTGCTCCTCAAAGGAGCAGGGCCTCCTCGCTATTTTTGTTGTTGGTCGCCCCCCCCCCCCACCGCCCGAATCAAAACAAAAAACAAAGCGAGATGATGTGTTGTCTTTATTGTTTTGGGGGTGAGGAGAAACGATAAACTGCTACCCCGCCTCTTCCGTTTACCCCCACGCGCATGAAAAAACATGTGTTTGTTTGTTTTGCTTCGGGGGAAAACAGCAAGAAACGAACACCTGCTACTCCGCCTCGTCCCCCTCCGCCTTCCCCTACGAGAGCACCCCAGAGCTTCGAGAAGCCACTTGACTTTCGAAAGCATTGTGGTGTCCTGCCAGGTCCTCGAACAGGCAAGCATTCCATGTCCTCCCCGAGCTCTCTAAAGCAGTCTACAACATGCTCAACACTTCTAGGCCCCTGCTAGAGCCGTCTCCTCGAACACCCCAGAGCCCTGTCAAACACTCTAGAACCTGCCTGCTGGAGCCCCCCCCACCCCCCACACCCCAAAGCGTTCCAAAATCTTTCAAAGCACCCCAGAGCTTCGTGCGGTCAAGCCGCGGTTTCGCATTGCTTGGCATTGCTTAGCAGTGATTGGCAGTGCACTTCTTGGCGTTGCTTGTAACTGCTTGGCATTGCTTGGTGCCGCGTTGGATTACGTGGCATTGATTTAAATTACGTGACATTGGTTTGCATTGCTTGGCATTGCTTGACATTGCTGGTATTGTGTTGCAGTGCTTGGCATTGCTCTGTTGTAACGTTGGCGGTGCTTGGCAGTGCTGTTCGTTGCTTTGGTGTGTTTGGCATTGCTTGGCATTGCTTTGCATTGCCCGGCGGTGCTTGGCATGTCTTGGCAGTGCTTGCCATTGCTTGACATGGCTTGGCAATAACTGGCGTGGCTGGCGCTGCGTGTCGTTTCGTTGCGTTGCTTGGCATTGTTTGGCTTTGATGGGCATTGCTTGGAAATGTTGGACATTGACTGGAAGTGCTTGGCGTTCCTTGGCGTTGCTTGGCGTTGCTAGGCATTTCGTTGCTGTACCTGGTATTGTTTGACATTGAAATGCATTGCCTGGCTATGCTGGGCAGTGCTTGGCAGTGGTTGGCGTTACTTGGCGTTGCTTGGCATTGCTTTGCTGCTTGTCGCGTAGCTTGGCATTGCGTGGCAGTGCTTGGCATCGCTTGACATTGCTTGGCAGTGCTTGGCAGTGCTTGGCAGTGCTTGGCAGTGCTTGGCGTTGCTTGGCATTGAGTTGCAGTTTCTCGCTTGGCTTTGCGTTAGTGGGCGTTGCCTGTCTGGGCTTAACAAAACGAGAGAACCTGAGGAACAAGGTTGGTGAGCACAAGAAAGGAAGGCGAAGAACCAGACGGGGGATCCGAGGAATGGCCAGGGAGCCCAAGGAACAAGCCAGAGGAACCCAAAAGCAAGACCACGAATCAAGCAAGGCCGAGACCTGCCTCTGAATTAGGCTGTCGCTCCCCAACCCCCTGTGCTTTCACAGCAACGTTAGCCAGCGTGGACACCAAACAGTGACGGATTGAACCGATGCGGTTCAGGTTACGTTGTTTACTCTGTCGTGGTATCTCTGCGCTGCAGGGCAATGCAAAGCAATACACTGCAAAGCAAAGCAATGCAAACCAATGCAGCGCAATGCAACGCAATGCAACGCAGGGCAACGCAACGCAAAGGAACGCAAAGCAACGCACAACAATGTAAAGCAACGATAAGCACCGCAAAGCAACGTAAAGCAAAGGAATGCAAACCAATGCAAACCAACGCAAGTCAATGTAGGGTGGTGCAGAGCAATGCCTATCAGTGCAAACCAATGCACAGGAATGCGATTGCAATGCGATTGGGATGTAATGCAATGCGACCGCGACGAAATGCGACTGCAATGCAATGCCATTGCAATGCAACGCAATGCGATTGCAATGCATTGCGATTGCGGGGGGCGGCGGTGCAACGGTCGGCGGTGACGGGCGGCAACGGGGGCGCAAAGCAACGCAAAGCAATGCAAAGCAACAGCAACTTTGGAGGAGCTGGCAGAGAAATAGCATATCGTCAGAAAGTGTGGACACAAAGCGAGAGAGAGAGAGAGAGACAAACAAAAATTACTCACTGCGTAGAGCTCCCCATATGCGCATCTCATGTTTTATGTCATGCCATAGTGAGCGTCTGTCCATGAGCGCACTGACGAGCAAACCGCCTGAGGCATCCCCGAAAAATGGCCGCGAACGGGCCCGTGCAAACACCCCTGGCGGCTCTCCTTGGGGATGTTTGTTGGGCATGAAAACGAACAAACCGCCTGAGACATCCCCACAAACTGGCCGCGAACGGGCCCGTGTCCTACCCCCTGGCGGCTCCCCTTAGGGGTGCTGAAACCAGCGCCCCGCCTGAGACATCCTCAAAATCTGCTCTGAAAGCCAAGGATGTTGGGCATGAAAACGACCTAACCGCCCGAGACATCCCCACAAACTGGCCGCGAACGGGCCCGTGTCCTACCCCCTGGCGGCGTCCTTTAGGGGTGCTGAAACCAGCGCCCCGCCTGAGACATCCTCAAAATCTGCTCTGAATGCCAAGGATGTTGGGCATGAAAACGGGCAAACCGCCTGAGACATCCCCACAATCTGGCCGCGAACAGGCCCGTGCAAACACCCCTGGCGGCTCTCCTTAGGGGTGCTGAAACCAACGCCCCGACTGAGACATCCTCAAAATCTGCTCTGAAAGCCAAGGATGTTGGGCATGAAAACGAAAAAAACGCCTGAGACATCCCCACAAACTGGCCGCGAACGGGCCCGTGTCCTACCCCCTGGCGGCTCCCCTTAAGGGTACTGAAACCAGCGCCCCGCCTGAGACATCCTCAAAATTGCTCTGAAAGCCAAGGATGTTGGGCATGAAAACGAGCAAACCGCCTGAGACATCCCCACAAACTGGCCGCGAACGGGCCCGTGCAAACACCCCTGGCGGCTCCCTTTAGGGGTGCGGAAACCACCGCCCCGACTGAGACATCCTCAAAATTTGTTCTGAAAGCCAGGGGTGTTGGGCATGAAAACGACCTAACCGCCCGAGACATCCCCACAAACTGGCCGCGAACGGGCCCGTGTCCTACCCCCTGGCGGCGTCCTTTAGGGGTGCTGAAACCAACGCCCCGCCTAAGACATCCTCAAAATCTGCTAGAAAGCCACGGATGCTGGGCATGAAAACGAGCAAACCGCCTGAGACATCCCCACAAACTGGCCGCGAACGGGCCCGTGTCCTACCCCCTGGCGGCTCCCCTTAGGGGTGCTGAAGCCAGCGCAATGCCAAGGATGTCGGGCATGAAAACGAGCAAACCGCATGAGACATCCCCAAAAACTGGCCGCGAACGGGCCCGTGCAAACACCCCTGGCGGCTCCCCTTAGGGGTGCCGAAACCAGAACCCCGCCGGAGACATCCTCAAAATCTGCTCTGAAAGCCAGGGATACTGGTCATGAAAACGGGCAAACCGCCTGAGACTTCCCCATAAACTGGCCGCGAACGGGCCCGTGCAAACACCCCTGGCGGCTCCCCTTAGGGGTGCTGAAACCAGCGCCCCGACTGAGACATCCTCAAAATCTGCTCTGAAAGCCAAGGATGTTGGGCATAAAAACGAGCAAACCGCCTGAGACGTCCCCACAAACTGGCCGCGAACGCGGGGTCCAACGAAACCCTGAAGCCGCCCGCTCTCGAAGCGCAAAAACACGCATGGGCCCAGAATCGATTGGACGAAAACGCTTTCTAGGATGGGGGGGCGCACGAAGGAACCATGCCCTTGGTGCATGGCGCAATCCGCAGAGAATCTCTCCGCGAACCAATCGCCGCAATCGTCCCCCAGGCAGCTCGGCGCCAGCAGGCGGTCGAACGAACGCGAAAGCCTGGCCCCAATTGGAATCTGCAGAGGCGCCAGCGCGCAAGAAAGCCTTCCCCACGCCCCAGGCTT